CTGTAATTCTAGTGAAATTGTGAATGTTCTGATTTTCTAAAATGTAGACATTTACTCTCAACTTAGACTTCCTTCAGATAACTTTTTGGAAAAGTCTTTAAATCATTCCCTTTTTCTACTTTTGCTGTGTAGTTATGAAAGTATTAGGGTCTAAGAAATTCCTAATAGATTGCAAAATGAAGATTATTTTAGTTACTGAGTTGTAAAATTCTTGAAATTTTCCTTTGCACGTTTTTTTTTTTTGGTGTTCTGACATCTATCTTACCTCTAGTTTTCTTCAGTCGATATAACTCGAGAATATTAAATGTTCTTACTGCCATTGTCAAGTTCCATTGCATGTTCTACTCATCAGAAGCTCTTGACAGTTTCAAACGTTCTCTGGGCCTTCCTTCCATAAATCAGGAGACCCACACTAATTAGTGAACTAATTATACTAATGGTGAGAACTTTAACCTTACAAAATTGAATTTTACATCAATTTTGGTGCTAAAAGTTACATATGGCATATCTCAGGTTGCATCAAAATAATTTTATGAAGAAAGTCCTTAATGCATTTGCTATGGGTACATTTTGGAGGTCAGGACATTGAGAAAAGGAAAGGGTATTTAAGCATTATGTCAAAGGTCATTGATCTTAAATGAAACAAAATGTTATTCATATTCAATAATGTCAAATACTAAAAGGTATACTCCTAACAGGGTTATTCCACTCTCCATACCCAATTATTCAATTAGGATTTATTTTGAACCTTAAATTTTATCATAATTTAAAATATTTAAATCATACCACCAATGGCATGAAATCAATTATATCTTTTAAAAGTTTGTGGTGAAGTATAGCACAAATATTGGCTAATATAAAACATTTTCATTTCATCCTTTAAGTGTATTTAGTTATAAATTCTGATATCTATGAAAACATTGTCAGCTAAACATTATTTGCAAGTATACATTTATACTTTTTTTTTAGTTCTATAGTTATAGATTAGCAATTAATAACTGAAAAGCAAGAGGCAGGAGTGTAACTGAGAAGTTGTAATTCCTCTGTCCAAGATAGATGATTCTTTTATGGTATGTTCTTTATGAATGTTGGAAGCATTCGTGATTATTTGTAACAGTGCATTCTCAGATAACACGAACTGATAAAGTCTTTATTTATTAACATATTAAAAGTATTTGAAAATTACTACAAGGATACTCTTGTTATAAGAACCCACAATAATGCTAGGGGAAGTAGAAAACAGTGGTTAAGAAATATATATACATGTTTTGATAGCAATGTAATAAGTCAAGATTTAACTGAGTTAGCAAGGTAGAATAAGGGACAATGAAGAGCTAACAGAATACTGAAGAAAAAATTGGAGTTAAAACCAGGGAAAGCTTCCTTTCAAGTGTGTCATTACACAAAGGTTGTTGCTGTCAGGTGCCATCATGTCTGTGGTGACTCACAGTACCACAGAAGGAAATACCATGCAGTCCTGTACCATCCTCACAATTGTTTTTATGTTTGACTTTATTGTTGCAGCCACTTTAAATAGGTTAAATAAATATTAGTTAAGAAATTAATTAATTTAGAAAGTGTTGATTAAATAAGCCAGTTAAATAAGTGTTAACTAAGAAAAAGAATACAATGAGGGTCCTTCTCTTGTTCACTACCTCTCTGCTTTACCAAGTACAATGGCCATTTCCAGAAACTGGTCTCTCCAGATAATACATCCAAAGTACATGAAATGTAGACTTGCCATCTGGTTTCCAGGGAGCATGCTGGCTGTATTTGTTCCAAGACAGATTTGTTCTTGTGCTAGTTCATGATACTTTCAATAGTTTTAGCCAACACTATAATTCAATTGTATCAATTCCTTATTGAACGTCCACCTTTCAGGAGGATAAAATAGGTCATCTGTCACTGCCCTATCATCTAGGAAATTACCACCCATGTTTCCCTCATAAAGTATGATACTGGAAGCCTATATTTACAAATATTAAAAGATAATCCTTATTTGAAGATATTATGTAAATTAAAAGTTCAAGGCAAAGTATGTATGGGACTTAAATTAGAGGAAAGGTATAGTACGGAAGAGATGTAATGTCAGATTTAGGTTCCTCTAATATGCAATCAAGAGGATCACAAAGTCACTCCCCATTAACCTTTCTTTTATCATAAGCATTGCTGTTATTGTTAGGTACCATTGAGTTAATTCTGACTCCTAGCAACACTGTGTACAACAAAACAAAATCCCACCCAGTCAGTAGTCAGTCCTGTGCCATTCTCAAAAGAGCTGTTATGCTAGGTAGCATTGTTGCAGGAATTGCATCCATTCATCTCCTTGACTGCCTTGTTCCTTTTGCTGACCAAGAACAATGTTCATATCAAGGGACTGGTCTTTTCTGATAACATGTATAAAAAACATAAGACAAAACGTTATCATTATTATTTAAAGGTGCATTCTAGCTGTACATTTTCCAAGACAGTTCAAGGTACTTTCAATATTCTTCACCAACATTATAATTAAATTGTATCAATTCTTCTGTGTTTCTCCTTATTCATGATCCAACTGTGTTAGACAGGATTCTCTAGAGAGACAAAACCAGATTGTTAATA